AATTTACAAACAGATCAAGGAAAAGAATTCTACAACGTAAAGTTTCAAAATCTTATGAAAAAATACAAAATTAATCATTACAATGTCTACAGTTTAAAAAAAGCCTCAATCGTCGAAAGAGTAAATCGCACATTAAAAAATTTAATGTGGAAAGAATTTAGTTTGCAAGGAAATTATAAATGGTTAGATTTATTGGCAAATGTGGTACATCGATATAATAATTCTTATCATCGTACTATAAAAATGAAACCGTCACAAGTTAACAAAAGTAATGAAAACGCTATTCTAAAAGCTGCTTATACTCAGATTAAAATAGTTAGCAATAAATCAAAATTTAAAGTTGGTGATAACGTAAGAATAAGTAAGTATCGCGGAATAATCGATAAGGGATACACACCCAATTGGTCAAATGAGATTTTCATAATAAGAAAAATTAATCTCACTAATCCCACCACATATTTTTTGAAAGATGAAAAGGGTGAAAACATTTTAGGTGGTTTCTATGAAATGGAACTATTGAAAGTTAAGCATCCAGGTGTATATCTCGTTGAAAAAGTTTTAAAAAAGAAAGGTAATCAACTTTATGTTAAATGGTTAGGATTTAATAACACCCACAACAGTTGGATTGATAAAAAAAAAATTACATAGTCGCTTTTCTCTCAGTCAGTTGACATAATTGATACGATGAAGTTGGTTGTAGTCGACGTACAAGGTTTTTGTCTACCTGAATTCATTGTAAAAGAACTTGCGATTTACGATGGAATTAACACAATACACGAAACATTCAAATCTACAAAACAACTCAAAGAAATCGATGAAAGAACGAAGAAACAAGCTAGATATCTAGAACGTTATCATCACATGTTGAGATTTAATGACGGCTTCAAGGAGCAGATATCTGTAAAAGAAATTTTGTTCAAATACATCAAGGAATATGCAGTGGAGATCTTATATGTAAAAGGAAAATGTAAAGAAAATTACCTTAGGGAAACGCTAGGAAAAGACTGCCCCAAAATTGTGAACCTCGAAACAATTGAAGACTCTGTGAAATTATCTAAAGAAATCCCAGCATGTGATAAACATATTGCTAATAATAAAAAATGTTACTGTTCTTTAAACAATGCTAAATGTATTTACAATTGGTTGTATTCAAGGTTTCCTCAATAAATAATACTATATTAAACTGTGTTTTATTTAATCGCAACACAAAACGTCAAAATAACGAACGAAAAAAAAAAACTGTCAGGTGTGGGATTCGAACCCACGCTCCCTTTCGAGAATCAGAGCTTAAATCTGACGCCTTAGACCGCTCGGCCAACCTGACTATGGAAAAACGGGTCAGGTCGATCGAGTAAAAGGCATTGCCAAAACGTACAGGTCAGGCACGTGAAGTCCTAAGGCAAGTCAGCCAAGGCCAGCCCCGTGCAGCGACCCGACCTAAAAAAAAAAAAAAGAGGGGATAGATCTCGAGATGACCAAGGGCAATAAACGTAATTCCTACAGACGAATCCATCGACTTTTATACAAGTATAAAACGGAAGTGGGGATGCGAGATTGCGTCCGAGATCCCTCCCCGACCTAAACGAAAAGAGGGGATAGATCTCGAGATGAACGAGGGCAATAAACGACCAAGGTCGAGCAACGACTAGGTCAACGATCGCCCGATGAAAAGTAATGGGGGAGCTGGACCAGCTGGCAAGGTCAGCCACGTGCAACGACAAGGTCAACAACAAATGAAAGGTCAATGACCGCTCGATGAAAAGTAATGGGGGAGCTGGACCAGTTTGACCTCATTTGACCTGGTCTAGAACCCCCACTATATAACTACTCCGGTTTTTGAATTTCATTTCTTCAATTTTATTTATATTACAATTTTTCGTGTGTTCAATCCTTCAAATCTTCAGTCTTTAATTCTTCAGTTCATCGATTTTCCAATTTTTATTTTTCAATTTTGCACCTTTTGGATTTCCCAATTATCCGACTTTCCGATTTGTTTAATTTTCAATATTTCGTTTTTCCGATCTTGGATTTTTCGATTTTTCAATTGCTTGTTTGTTCAATTTTTCAACTTATCGATTTCCAGTTTTTAGATTTTTCAAGTTTTCATTTTATACTTTTTCTTTTGTCATTTTTGATTTTCCAATTTTACAATTTTGCAATTTTTCAATTTTTTGATTCGAACAGTTGAAAATGTTTCCTTTTTACAATTCCTTTATTTTTTCAATATTTCTTTAGATTTTATAATTTCAAAATTGAAAAATTGAAAACTGGTGAAATTATTTCTTCAGAGCCAATATGATGAAAATGGAATAAAGGTGGGTGGGAGGGGGGCATTTTTACTTTGTTTTAAATCTTACATTCTACCGCTTGTTAAAATAGAATTTAATTGATATTTTACAGTAAATAAAATAAGTCAGGGAAATTGACACAAGAGGTGGGCGGAATTGAGTTTAGATTTTTCTAAAAAGTCTTATAAGTAAGCAGTAGTCCCGTCCACATACCCCCTTTTCATTCCAGTGACTACTCTTAATGTTATTCAATTTTATTTTGGAAAGTACTAGCCCCACCCACCCACCCTCTATTTTCTGTGATTTGCCAAAATTAGTCTTATCTTAGCATGTATTAGGCCCGCCCACCCACCCTCTATCTTCTTAGAGGGTATATGATTTGCCAAAATCAGTTTTATCAGGCAAGTACTCGCAAAAAAATTAAAAATTGAAAAATTGCAAATCGAAAAATTGAGAAACGAAAAATCGAAAAATCCAAAAAGTTAAGTTATTTTATTGAATAAATCAAGATTGCAAAAGTGAATACTTTGAAATCTTGCACACGTTTTTTATTGTGAGCATGTTTGTATTGTAATTGTAATCAAAATATGTCAGTTTATTCTCCCCCAAAAAATGATGACGTTTTAAAATGTTACTGTTATTTTTAGTATTCCGCTGCACCAATCCAAGTTGATATACGTGTCCTTGCAAAAATGTTGATGACGTCATACGTCATCACAAAATTGTGTTAAGAAAAAACTTAATTCGAAAATGCTGGATATGTTTCATTGTAACTACTGTAGGTGCAAGGGAAGTTCTGTCGAACAATTTTCGACCAATTGTTTCTTTTTTTTTCATATTCAAGGTAGGTTATAGATCTTGATTTCAAAAATATAGGGTGTTTAGGGTCACGGGGCAATATTTTCGAAATATTCGCAATGAAATGCAAATTTTTTGGAATTTTCAAAAATTGCGATATTTCAATTGCTGATTCTGGAAAACCGGTTGGAGTTAAAAATAAAATTCGCAAAATCAAATCTTATAATTTTTTGAAAAATCTGGATTTATTTACATTCGATCAATTTTTAGATAAATTAGAATTTTTCGTTTTTCCTTTGTCTTCAATTTTAAATTTTCCATATCACAATTTTTCGTTTTTTCGCTTTCTTTCATTTTCAGTTTTTCAATTTTTCGATATTTCAGTCTCTCGTTTTTAATTTTTCGTTTCCTCAATTTTTCAAGTTCTCAATTTTTGTTTTTCATATTCTCGATTGTTTTTATTTTCATTTTCTCGATTTAAAATCACTGTTTTTCCTTTTTACAATTCCTTTATTTTTTCAATACATATTTCTTCGATTTTATAATTTTAAAATTGAATAATTAGAAATTGAAAACTCCTGATATTCTTTCTTCAGAGCCAATAAAAGTAATCTTAGATTCTACCGCGTATTAAAATAGATTTCAATTCACATTTTACAGTAAATAAAATAAGTCAGTGAAATGGAGACATGAAGTGGGCGGAGTTGAGTTTAGGTTTTTCTAAAAAGTCTTATAATTAAGCAGTAGTCCCGTACACCTACCCGCTTTTCATTCCAGTGACTACTCTTAATGTTATTCAATTTTATTTTGGAAAGTACTAGCCCCACCAACCCACCCTCTATTTTCTGTGATTTGCCAAAATTAGTCTTATCTTAGCATATATTAGGCCCGCCCACCCACCTTCTCTCTTCTTAGAGGGTGTGTGATTTGCCAAAATCAGTTTTATCAGGCAAGTACTCGCAAAAAAAATAAAAATTGAAAAATTGCAAATCGAAAAATTGAGAAACGAAAAACTGAGACGTCATACGTCATCACAAAATTGTGTTACGAAAAAACTTAATGCGAAAATGCTGGATATGTTTCATTGTACTTTAGGTGCAAGGGAAGTTCTGTCGAAACAATTTTCGACCAATTGTTTCTTTTTTTTTCATATTCAAGGTTATAGATCTTGCCGTCCCGATTCCAAAAATATAGGGTGTTTAGGGTCAGGGGGCAATATTTTCGAAATATTCGGAGTGAAATGCAAATTTTTTGGAATTTTTAAAAATTGCGATATTTCAATTGCTGATTGTGGAAAACCGGTTGAAATTAAAAATAAAATTCGCAAAATCAAATCTTATAATTTTTTGAAAAATCTGGATTTATTTACATTCGATCAATTTTTAGATGTTAGATTTTTTCGTTTTTCCTTTTTCTTCAATTTTCAATTTTCCATATCACAATCTTCATTCCAATGATTACTCTTCATATTATTCAATCTTATCTTGGCAAGTACTAGCCTCGCCCACCAACCCCCTTTTTTGTTTGAGGGTCAATTTGTCAAAATTAGTTTTATCTTAGTATGTACTAGGCCCACCCACCCGCCCTCTATCTTCTTAGAGGGTATGTGATTTCCCAAAATCTGTCTTATCAGTAAGCACTAACAAAAAAATTAAAAATTGAAAAATTGCAAATCGAAAAATTGAAAAATCCAAAAAGTGAGAAATTAAAAAATGAAAACTCGAGAAATTGCAAAATCTGAAAACTGAAACATCCAAAAATTGGAAAATCGACAAACTGAAAAATTTTAAAATGCAAAAACAAAAAAAAAATAAAAATTGAAAAATTGCAAATCAAAAAAAGTTCTGTCGAAATAATCTTCGACCAATTTTTTTATTCCTTGTAGAGTTGAGGGAAAAAGAAAGACAACCACGCTTCTACTGGCATAACATAGTCATATTTACACAGTATTAATAAAATGATATATACAACATATCCTACCCTACAACAAAAACAACTACACAATAATCGACTTAATAAAATGAACCGGTTTCCACTGCTTCATCGGCGTTAAATCGTAGCTCTGCTTCGGTGTCCCCGTCGTGACCGCCACATCCAGCACCCTCAGGGAATGTTTCGACAGAACGACGGGCTGATACTCAATACACCCTCCCATATCCACAGAAATCTCGCCCTCTCCCTCGTTCCTGTAAAAAACCACAACTCAGCACAAATCCATCAACTTTTTCAACACTCTTACGTTTTAAGTCTCGGCGAAACGAACATCATCTCCGGGGTGACCCTCGCCAAGTTGAGCGTCACTACTTTGATCCCAGCGGGCTCCAGCTCCTTCCGAAGAGCGTTACTGGCGCCCTCTACGGCATACCTACTTGCCGTATAGGCAACCAAGCCTGCCTCTTCACCATGCGACACCCCAAAATTGACCAAGCGGCCTGAAGCGCTCCGCAGGAACCCTTGGAACGTCCGCGCCGTGCGCAGTACCCCCACGACGTTCGTTTTCAGGATAGCGTCCCAATGGGCGATGTCCTGCTGGTCGAGGCGGCCGCGGTACGACAAACCGCTGGTATTAATGACGGCCCAAATGCCTACAATCGATACAAAAATGAGTGACAAGTATTGATGGTTAATTTCAAAGGGGGAGTGTTTATTTGTGTTGACACACCTAACACATTTATCCAGATTTACCACAGCACGTGTGCGTATCGAGTGAATCGAAGGCCGGTCGTTTTTCACTTTTGGGTTAATAATTGAGCTTACCGTCCTCGCCCGCTGGTAAATGGGCCCTAATTATGTCCACGGCCTCGTGTAACAAGTCTTCTCGGGTTACGTCCAGGGGTAGGGCTACTAGGGCGCCGTGACAAGGGCCTACTAAGCTCTCCCTGTACTTCTGCCAAGCCCTTATGATTCTGGAGGAGACGGAGTCGTCGGGGGAGCCCGAGGAGGCGCCGTCTTTGAGGCCGGCGAAGACGCGGAAGCCTCGGTTGGCGAGGTGGATGGCGATCTGAAGATAACGGGTTTCGTATTTAGGGTTAAAAATACTGGTGTCGGGCTAAGAATTTACGGCTTTGAAGAACGAAGATTGGTCGTATAAATGCAAATAAACTAAACCCGTCCTGCACGAAGAAATAAAGTAAGTGCTTTGTGCGTCATATCCTGGCTCGGTCTCTTTATCAAACGTATCTAAAGCGTCCGACGCTACAAAGCTTTGCAAAAGTTAAACAACAACGAACACAAAATATTCAACGGAATTTCTCTTCTACAAACATACACTGGTGATAGACTAAATATTTGGTTGTTTGTGTATCACAATAAAACGGCTGCCACAATTTTTTTTTATTTATTTAAAGTAGCCTTAAAGTTTATTCTGTTTTACATTATATTATTAATATTGAAAAGATCTATAAAGTTCACAAATATACGGAGTGATTACGCTAAGATGTCAGAGTAGCTGGCAACCCAATATACACGCTACATGTCACTTATTACCAGCTGTGTATTTCGTGTTGCCTACCTATCTCAGAATCGGCCAAATCACGCTCTATTTCAGAGCAAAAATACGCATTTATTGTGGACTATGGCACAAATTCTAATCCTCAGTCTAATAGAATTCATACAGTTTGCAACTATGTATTTTCAAATATACAAGGTGTTCTGTTTCAAGCTATAGTAGTTCCGGTGTTTTAAGTTTCATGTGTTTACATATTGAAACAAAAAGAATTTTTTGATTTTTGAATTTTTCGATATTTATTTATTTTCAGGATTTTTCGATTTTTAAAATTTTTCGACTGTTCCTTTTTCAACATCTCAGTTTTGGGAATTGATGTTTCGATTGCTTGACCCTTCGACTTTTCGACTTAAAAAAATTACATTTTTCCATTGTTCACCTGCTGGATTTTAAAACTTTTTCATTTATTCGCTTTTTCGAATGTTTATTTTTCAATTTCTCCATTTTTGATTTTTAAATTTTCCATCTTTCAGTGTTACACTTTTTCAAAATTTTCAATTTCCCTTTTTTGCGACTTTTCAGGTTTTCAATTTTCGATTTTTTGATATTTCGATTTCTCGATTTTTCAATTTTTCGATTCCCCGATTTTTCGATTTTTGAGTTCTTCGATATTTTTATTTTCAGGATTTTTCAAATTTTAAAATTTTCCAACTGTTTCTTTTTTCAACATCTCAGTTTAGAGAATTTTTGATGTTCGATTGCTTGATTCTTCGATTTTCGACTTAAAAAAATTACATTTCCATTGTTCAACTGCTGGATTTTAAAACTTTTTCATTTATTCGATTTTTTGAATTTTAACTTTTCAATTTCTTCATATTTGATTTTTAAATTTTCGATCTTTCAGTGTTACACTTTTTCAAAATTTTCAATTTCCCTTTTTTGCGACTTTTCAGGTTTTCAATTTTCGATTTTTCGATATTTCGATTTCTCTATTTTTCAATTTTTCGATTCCCCGATTTTTCGATTTTTGAGCTCTTCGATATTTATTTATTTTCAGGGTTTTCCGAATTTTAAAATTTTTCGACTTTTCAGTTTTTCAACATCTCAGTTTTGGGAATTTTTGATGTTTCGATTGCTTGATTCTTCGATTTTCGACTTAAAAAAATTACATTTTTCCATCGTTCAACTGTTGGATTTTAAAACTTTTTCATTTATTCGATTTTTTTAATTTTAATTTTTCGATTTCTCCATATTTGATTTTTAAATTGTCGATCTTTCAGTGTTACACTTTTTCAAAATTTTCAGTTTCCCTTTTTTGCGACTTTTCAGGTTTTCAATTTTTGATTTTTTGGTGTTTCGATTTCTCGATTTTTCAATTTTTCGATTCCCCGATTTTTCGATTTTTGAGTTCTTCGGTATTTATTTATTTTCACGATTTTTCGATTTTTAAAATTTTTCGACTTCATTTTTTTAACATCTCAGTTTTGGGAATTTCATATGTTTCGATTGCTTGATTCGTCGATTTTTGACTTAAAAAAATACATTTTTCCATTGTTCAACTGCCGGATGTTAAAACTTTTTCATTTATTTGATTTTTTTAATTTTAGTTTTTCAATTTCTCCATATTTGATTTTTAAATTTTCGATCTTTCAGTGTTACACTTTTTCAAAATTTTCAATTTCCCTTTTTTGCGACTTTTCAGGTTTCAATTTTCGATTTTTTGATGTTTCGATTTCTCGATTTTTCAATTTTTCGATTTTTGAGTTCTTCGATACATATTTATTTATTTTCAGGATTTTTCTAATTTTAAAATTTTTCGACTGTTCCTTTTTCAACATCTCAGTTTTGGGAATTTTTGATGTTTGATTGCTTGATCCTTCGATTTTTCGACTTAAAAAAATTACATTTTTCCATTGTTCGACTGCTGGATTTTAAAACTTTTTCATTTATTCGATTTTTTGAATTTTAATTTTTCGATTTCTCCATATTTGATTTTGAAATTTTCGATTTTTCAGTGTTACACTTTTTCAAAATTTTCAATTTCCTCTTTTTGCGACTTTTCAGGTTTTCAATTTTCGATTTTTTGATATTTCGATTTCTCGATTTTTCAATTTTTCGATTCCCCGATTTTTCGATTTTTGAGTTCTTCGATATTTATTTATTTTCAGGATTTTTCGAATTTTAAAATTTTCCGACTGTTTCTTTTTTCAACATCTCAGTTTAGGGAATTTTTGATGTTCGATTGCTCGATTCTTCGATTTTTCGACTTAAAAAAATTACATTTCTCCATTGTTCAACTGCTGGATTTTAAAACTTTTTCATTTATTCGATTTTTTGAATTTTAACTTTTCAATTTCTTCATATTTGATTTTTAAATTTTCCATCTTTCAGTGTTACACGTTTTCAAAATTTTCAATTTCCTTTTTTTGCGACTTTTAAGGTTTTCAATTTTCGATTTTTTGATATTTTGATTTCTCGATTTTTCAATTTTTCGATTCCTCGATTTTTCGATTTTTGAGTTCTTCGATATTTATTTATTTTCAGGATTTTTCGAATTTTAAAATTTTTCGACTGTTCCTTTTTCAATATCTCAGTTTAGGGAATTTTTGATATTTCGATTGCTTGATCCTTCGATTTTTCGACTTAAAAAAATACATGTTTCCATTGTTCAACTGCTGGATTTTAAAACATTTTCATTTATTCGATTTTTTGAATTTTAATTTTTCGATTTCTCCATATTTGATTTTTAAATTTTCGATCTTTCAGTGTTACACTTTTTCAAAATTTTCGATTTCCCTTTTTTGCGACTTTTCAGGTTTTCAATTTTTGATTTTTTGATTTTTCGATTTCCCGATTTTTCAATTTTTCGATTCCCCGATTTTTCGATTTTTGAGTTCTTCGATATTTATTTATTTTCAGGATTTTTCGAATTTTAAAATTTTTCGACTGTTCCTTTTTTCAACATTTCAGTTTTGGGAATTTTTGATGTATCGATTGCTTGATTCTTCGATTTTCCACTTAAAAAAATTACATTTCCATTGTTCAACTGCTGGATTTTAAAACTTTTTCATTTATTCGATTTTTTTAATTTTTATTTTTCAATTTCTCCATATTTGAATTTTAAATTTTCCATCTTTCAGTGTTACACTTTTTCAAAATTTTCAATTTCCTTTTTTTGCGACTTTTCAGGTTTTAAATTTTCGATTTTTTGATGTTTCGATTTCTCGATTTTTCAATTTTTCGATTCCCCGATTTTTCGATTTTTGAGTTCTTCGATATTTTATTTTCAGGATTTTTCAAATTTTAAAATTTTTCGACTGTTCCTTTTTTCAACATCTCAGTTTTGGGAATTTTTGATGTATCGATTGCTTGATTCTTCGATTTTCCACTTAAAAAAATTACATTTCCATTGTTCAACTGCTGGATTTTAAAACTTTTTCATTTATTCGATTTTTTGAATTTTAATTTTTCAATTTCCCCATATTTGATTTTTAAACTTTCGATCTTTCAGTGTTACACTTTCTCAAAATTTTCGATTTCCCTTTTTTGCGACTTTTCAGGTGTTCAATTTTCGATTTTTTGATGTTTCGATTTCTCGATTTTTCAGTTTTTCGATTCCCGGATTTTTCGATTTTTGAGTTCTTCGATATTTATTTATTTTCAGGATTTTTCAAATTTTTAAATTTTTCGACTGTTCCTTTTTTCATCATCTCAATTTTGAGAATTTTTGATGTTTCGATTGCTTGATCCTTCGATTTTTCGACTTGAAAAAATTACATGTTTCATGTTTCCATTGTTCAACTGCTGGATTTTGAAACTTTTTCAATTATTCGATTTTTTGAATTTTGGTTTTTCAATTTCTCCATATTTGATTTTTAAATTTTCGATCTGTCAGTGTTACACTTTTTCTAAATTTTCAATGCAAAATACTTATTTCTTTACAAGAAATTAAAAACATGTTTTTAAGTATCGTGTTGTTCAAGGAATACTACGTGAATTTTTTTATTCCTACAAACTTGTTTAAAATGGTAAACTTTTGTAGACAAATATGGATCTTGCAATTAAGCCCCGCCCCTCGATCTGACAACGAATGAAAAATTCATCACAATTGAGAACTGACATCGGGGCGGGTATGGGTGGGGCCTAATCTTTGATTTTATTTTTTTCTTAATATACTTACATAGTTTCTTTGAACAACACGATACTCAAAAACATGTTTTTATTTCTTGTAGAAAAATAACGTTTTTGCAATTAAGCTCCACCCTCTTGGCTCACGATGAATAAGAAAAATCATCAGAATTGAGATAGGGTGGGTGGGCGGGGCTTATATTTTGCCTTTGTTTCTTAATATATATAGCCATCTTTTCATAACAAGAAACTTAAAACATGGTTAAAATGGTACATTTTTGCAAGGAAATATGGAGTTTGCAATTATGGGGCGGAGCCTAATTGCAAAATCGATATTTCTTCATACAAATTTTCCATTTTAAACATGTTTTAAGTTTGATGATGTGAAAAGAAGCCTACACATTTTGAAACAAATTGGCAAAATGTAAGCCCGCCCACCCGCCCTATCTCAATTGTGATGATTTTTTTATTCACCGTGAATCAAGAGGGCGGAGCTTAACTGCAAAATACTTATTTCTTAAAAACATGTTTTTAATTTCTTGTCAAGAAATAAGTATTTTGCAGTTAAGCTCCGCCCTTTTGATTCACGGTGAATAAAAAAAATCTTCACAAATGAGATAGGGCGGGTGGGTGGGGCTTATATTTTGCCTTGTTTCTTAATATACGTAGTTCTTTTCAGAACAAGAAACTTAAAACATGTATAAAATGGTAAATTCTTGTAGCCAAGTATGGATTTTGCAATTAAGCTCCGCCCCTCGAGCTGACAACGAATGAGAAATTCATCACAATTGAGAATTGAGATCGGGGCAGGTCTGGATTGGGCCTAATCTTTGCCTTTATTTTTTTCGTAATATACTTACATAATATTCTTTGAACAACATGATACTCAAAAACATGTTTTTAATTTCTCGTACAGACATAAGGATTTTGCAGTTAAGCTTCGCCCTCTTGGCTCACGATGAATAAAAAAAATCATCAGAATTGAGATAGGGTGGGTGGGCGGGGCTTATATTTTACCTTTTTTTTTTTTAATATATGTAGCCATCTTTTCACAACAAGAAACTTAAAACATGTCTAAAATGATAAATTTTTGTAGTAATCAACTTAAATCCTCCACTTTTCTTCTACAACCCCTTTAAATACTTTAAATCTTCTAGGAGATATTTCAAATAATTTTCATTCTTAATTTTATAAAAATGTAGGGGTTTTTGTTTTATTTTTTTCTCACTTGCAAGCTCGATACTTTAAAACTGGTGAACTAAATAAACTCAATGACCCGATTTTTTCAGAGTTGATGGATCACTTTCTTTTGAAATGTTGTGAATCAACGTTGTGTAATTTTTTTCCAAAGAAGATTTGAGTTCAAAAAGAAAAGAAAAACAAAAATCCTCTAGAGAACCACTTTTTGTCTAAAGCATTTTCTCTTTCGTATAACCAAAATACAAACTTGTTTCTGCTTGTAAGCGAGCATCTTCTTCACCGTCCACCGGTTCTAGTCTAAAGACCTTGATTTAATGACTTTTTAACTATCACCAACGACATGTAGAAATAAAAAAAATTACATACTTTGTACTTCTTCGTCAAGAACTAAATTTAAAGCATCAGAATTTTGAAATCGATCGAATTCCGACCCGTCCACTTCACCGTTAAACCGCGGCTAAATTTAACGCTCAACCACTCCACTCGCTCAAGTAAAACGCGTATTTACCTGCAATCCAACGCAGTTGTCGGCACAGGTCACCAAAACCGCCTTTCCGCCTCCCGGCGAACTTCCGGGGGCTTCCGGTCCGTTACTCGCCCGGATTTTGCACAGTAAGTACACCAACAAAGCTCCGGCGGTCGAAAAAAGCGCCACTAGCTGTAGAGCCAGCACTAAAGCTGTTTGTTCGTCCATGCTAACCTGGAAAAAAAAATAGCGAAATTGAGCGAACAGCCTTGACCAGTTCGACGTGTCAAATTCGAAGGCAACGTTTTAATTGGGGTAATTGATAGTAATAGCACGAGCGAGTTTTATGATTATGGTAGGATTATTGCTGGTAATGAGAGGCGGATTTCTGCAATTTGTCGCTGAGAGAAGGTGCTGAGAGGTGTTACGTAAGGATGGATTTCCTTACGGTCGAGTTTCGATAATGATTATTCCAATGATAATGAGATTACATGTAGGCAGGTGCAGCTTTCTAATTTTTTTTTGTGAAGATATTAACACGGATCGGTTATCTAAAAATAGAAATATCAGAAAAACGAGACGGACGAGTCGAGAGGTGATAGTGGATTTGTTTTATCGGGTTTTTGCGGGCGGCTGGAGCAAGTAAATACACCAGGAAGTCAACCTTCATTTCGGTTTCTCTTAATGGAATTAAGAGAAAGACGGCAGTGTTGATATTGACAACAATTGTTGGTTTACATTTTCTGGTTTATTTATAATGAATAGCCGGTGAATAATATCTGGCCTGAAATGACAGAAAGTTAGCAGGAAGCGGATTAAAGATAGAAGTTAGTTAATGTTGCTAAGAACAGAATAAAAACCTTGCATGAAATTCCCTGGATGGCGAAATTTATTTAATAATTTACCCATTTACTCTAGATCAGTCATTTACAATGTTTAAATATGATAAATGATAATAAGTGTTAATATACCATAACTAAACTGAAAACACGAGGTTATTAAAAACAACTCAATTTGTTCAAACATTGTTAGAATGAATAAATACCCAACTTGTACATAATAAATAAGTATTTTCGTTTTTTGATAAATTAAAGTCCGTCAAAATTGTTAGATTCTCGACTCATCACGTGACGTCGACGAATGTTTTCAAATAAAGAAATGGATATTTTCAACGATTTTCGTACATCAGCCACCCAGTACAAATATGGGTTGATTATGACCAGGTCAGGTCAGGTTGTTTTGAATCTTCGTCGTGTTCGGACGTGAATTTTGTACTGTTATTATCTACAGGGTGTTCAAAAAATGGCATACCAACTCAAAGGTAGTGAAAACCCAGCGGCGTAAATAAGAAATCCGAAAAATCGAAAACAGAAAGAATAGAAAAAACTTCCGAAAAGTCAAAAAATCGAAAATTCAAAAATTGAAAAATCGACGAATAGAAAATCAAAAAATCGAAAAGTAACAAAAATCAAAAATCGAAAATTCGAAAAATAAAAAATTCGTAATTTGAGATTTCGAAAAATCTAAAAATCCAAGTATCGAGATCTAGACAAAACGAAAATTTTGAAATTTTGGAAAATTGAAAAATCAAAATGTGGAAATTTTGAAACAGAATTTCGATTTCTCTAAAAAATAAATTACTAAAAATTCAAATATCGAAAATTCGAAACTTTGGTGAATCAAATATTGGAAAAAACGAAAATCCGAGAAATCGGAAAACCGAAAATTCGAAATCGAAAATCTCAAAATCTAAAATCGAAAAACCGAAAAATCGAAAAATTTTCCGGAAAGTTAAAAAATCGAAAATTGAAAATCGAAAAATCGGAGGATTAGAGAAATCAAAAAATCGAAAGTAAAAATAAATGAAAAAACGAAAAACTGATGAATGGAAAAATTGGAAAAGTTCAAAAACTGAATTCCAATATCGAAAAATCGAAAAGCGAAAAAATTAAAAAGTCTAAAAAATTGAAGAATAGAAAAACTGAAAATTCAAAACATCAAAAATCGAAAATTCGAAAAATTGACATTTTGAAAAATCGAAGCATTGAAAAACTGAAGAATGGAAAAATCGGAATAGCGAAAATTCGAAAATCCAAAAATCAAAAATCGCAAAAGCGAAAAATTGATAAATTGAGATTTCGAAAATCTAAAAATCCAAGAATCGAGATATAGACAAAACGAAAATTTTGAACTTTTGGAAAATTGAAAAATCGAAATGTCGAAGTTTTGCAACATCGAGAAATCGAAAACGAAACAAAATAAATTATTAAAAATTCAAATATCGAAAATTCGAAACTTTGGTGAATCAAATATTCGAAAAATCAAAAATCCGTGAAATCGGAAAACCGGAAATTTGAAATCGAAAATCTCAAAATCTAAAATCGAAAAACCGAAAAATCGAAAATAGAAAAAATGGAAACGTTTTCCGGAAAGTTAAAAATCGAAAATTGAAAAATCGAAAACGGAGGACTAGAGAAATAAAAAAATTGAAAGTAAAAATAAATGAAAAATCGAAAAACTGAAGAATGGAAAAATTCGATAAAAGTTCAGAGTGAATTCGAATATCGAGAAATCGAAAAGCAAAAAAATTGAAAAGTCTAAAAAAAATTAAAAATTGAAAATTAAAAAATCGAAACTCGAAAATTCGAAAAATTCAAGAATTGAAAAATCGAAAAATCGAGAAATCAGAAAACCGAAAAATCAAAAATTCGTAAATTAAGATTTCGAAAATCTAAAAATACAAGAATCGAGATACAGACAAAACGAAATACAAAACTTCTAAAATCGAAAAACTGAAATTGCAAAAATTCAAATATCGAAAATTTGAAAATTCGATAAATGGAAAGATCGAAATTTTGAAGCATCGAGAAAACCGAAAATTTGAAATCGAAACTCTAAAAATCGAAAATTAAAAAATCGAAAAATCGAGGACTAGACAAATGAAAAAATCGAAAGTAAAATTAAGATTTCGAAAATCTAAAAATACAAGAATCGAGATACAGACAAAACGAAATACAAAACTTCTAAAATCGAAAAACTGAAATTGCAAAAATTCAAATATCGAAAATTTGAAAATTCGATAAATGGAAAGATCGAAATTTTGAAGCATCGAGAAAACCGAAAATTTGAAATCGAAACTCTAAAAATCGAAAATTAAAAAATCGAAAAATCGAGGACTAGACAAATGAAAAAATCGAAAGTAAAATTAAACGAAAAATCTAAAAACTGAAGAATAAAAAAATCTTCCGAAAAGTCAAAAAATCGAAAATTCAAAAATCGAAAAATCGACGACTAGAAAATCAAAAAATCGAAAAGTAAAACAAATAAAAAAAAATTGAAAAAATTCGAAAAAGTAAAAAATTTAAGTCTAAAAAATTGAAGAATAGAAAAATTTTAAATTAAAAACATCAAAAATCGAAAATTCGAAAAATCGACAATTTGAAAAATCGAAGAATTGAAAAACTGAAGAATGGAGAAATCGGAATAGCGAAAATTCGAAAATCTAAAAACCAAAAATCGAAAAACCGAAAAATCAAAAACTCGTAAATTGAGATTTCGAAAAATCTAAAAATCCAAAAATGGAGATATAGCCAAAACGAAAATTTTGAAATTTTGGAAAATTGAAAAATCGAAATGTGGAAATTAAGAGACATCGAGAAATCGAAAACGAAACAAAATAAATTATTAAAAATTCAAATATCGAAAATTCGAAACTTTGGTGAATCAAATATTCGAAAAAACGAAAATCCGAGAAATCGGAAAACCGAAAATTTGAAATCGAAAATCTCAAAATCTAAAATCGAAAAACCGAACAATCGAAATAGAAAAAATCGAAAAATCTTGGGGAAAGCTAAAAAATCGAAAATTGAAAAATCGAAAAATCGAGGACTAGAGAAATAAAAAATCGAAAGCAAAAATAAATGAAAAATCGAAAATCTGAAGAATGGAAAAATTCGAAAAGTTGAAAAACTGAAAATTCGAATATCGAAAAATCGAAAAGCAAAAAAATCGGAAAATTAATGAAAATTCAAGAATAAAAAAAAATTTAAATCGAAAATTAATAAATCAAAACTCGAAAATTCGAAGAATCCAAGAATTAAAAATCAAAAATCGAGAAATCACAAAACCAAAAATTCGAAAATAAAAAATCGAAAAATCGAAAAATAAAAAATTCGTAAATTGAGATCTCGAAAATTCTAAAAATCCAAGAATCGAGATATAGACAAAACGAAATACAAAAGTCATAAACTTGAAACTTATAAAATCGAAAAACTGAAATTGAAAAAATTTAAATATCGAAAATTTGAAAATTCGATAAATGGAAGGATCGAAATTTTGAAGCATCGAGAAATCGAAAAGGAAACAAAATAAATTAAAAATTCAAATATCGAAAATTCGAAACTTCGGCGAATCAAATATTCGAAAAAACGGAAATCCGAGAAATCGGAAAACCGAAAATTTGAAATCGAAACTATAAAAATTGAAAATATAAAAAAATTGAAAAATCTTCCGAAAAATGAAAAAAAGAATGGAAAAATTAAAATCGAAAAGTTTAACAACTGAAAATTCGAATATCGAAAAATCGAAAAGCAAAAATTGAAAAATCGAAAATTCCAAAAATCAAAATCGAAAATTCGAAAACTAAGAATTGAAAAATTGAAAAATCCAGGCATCGGTAAACCAAAAATTCTAAAATCAAAAATCGAAAAACCGAAAAAGGAAATATTTGTAAACCGAGATTTCGAAAATACGAAAATCGAAGACCAAAAATTCTAAATCGAAATAGAAAAAATTCAAATATCGGAAATTTGAAAAATCGAAAATTCGAAATTTTGAAAAATTAAAAATCGAAAAACGAAGAAATCGAAAAGGAAACAAAAGATTGAAAATTCAAATATCGAAAATTCTAGACTTCGATTATTCAAATATTCCAAAAAACGAAAATCCGACTAATCAAAAAACCGAAAATTGGAAATGGCTATCTAAAAATCGAAAATCGAAAAATCCAGAAATCAACGAACCGAAAAATCAGCTTAAATATAAATATGTATATAGAAAAATTTTAAAATAGAGAAATGAATAAATTCTCAAAATTGAAGTGTTGAAAAAACCGAGAAGTCGAGAAATCGAAAATTCGAAAAATTAAATATTAAAAAATTAAAAAATGGCAAAATGGAAAAATGGAAACATGTAAAACTTAAAATCGAAAATTTGCGACATCAAAAGATCGAAAA